GGTAAGTGTGGGTAAGTGTGCAGGCAACATGACACTACAAGTAGATTTTATAGTCAATGCTGCTTCTCTCTCACCAGAAGGGTTTGTAGATTTGAGATAAAGTAGCTGAGTACTCAAAGATGGAGATTACCCACTGTGACAATATTGCAACAGCAACATTTGCCTTCAAATTTGTTAGAACAAGCCACCAAGCAGGTCAGTAAGAGTTAACATGGATCCTTGCACTGAAGATGACTGTATGGGTGGGAGAGAAGAGCAATGATTATTGTAAAACAGAAATCCCAGAAAAGGAAAATGAAGTCAAAAGGAGATGCTACAAGATGTTCTTTCCCAACATGTTTGCTAAGAAAGAAAGGATGGTGACAGCAGACTTGAGTTATCCAATTCTCTAATAATTTGGAGAATCAGACACACAGCTTACAATGTATGGGTACCGTTTGACAAGGCATCTATAACGCAGTGGGCTAACCTGAGACATCTCTTCTACATAAGCCAGAGTTAAACATTTATAGAGAACTTGTTCAGAAACTATCATTTACAAGCAGGTCCCATGGTCTAAAGTGAGATTGTGCAGTAGCTTAAAAATCTGCAATTGTGCAGCTATATAAGCTGCTCTGTAAATTGAGCAATAGTTTAAATACAGTAAAGCTTTGCTATCCAGCATGAGTGCAGTAAGGAGGGTGCCTGTTATCTAAAAATTCTGGTTATTGGAATTAACATGACAGCAGCACAGAGTCATGGATGGCGGTGGTGACTTCCGCTGCGTGCAAACGCCTTCCCCATCCCATCCAGCCAGCCGGGCGATGCCTGTGCAGCCCACATCGGGGAGCCACTGCCCTCACCCCCCCACCCTGGCCCTGCTCAAGAAATACTTCATGCACATGCCAGATGATAGAGTACTCCTGTTAGTAAAATGCCAATTAACACAGCCTTTACTGTAAAAAGAAAAATTGAGAAAGGAGAGAAAAAATAAGAGACATAAGTGAGGTGGTGTCATAGATGAGTGGAACTGCACTGACTTCTGAAAGTTAAAAGTGACCATTTGAAGAAACTCTAACCTTTCAGCTTCATAGATAACCTTCAAAATATCATCAGTTAGCAGGTTAAACCAATGCAGATTCTATCCAAATTTACTGACAACCTGAAAATACTGCCTCTGAGATGATAACTGTCCCCAAACAGATCAGTGACTCAAGTTTTATTTAATTTAAATAGTCATCATATGAATTACTTTCAGGATGGATGGGTACACACTTTTAAAAATGTATATTAAAAAAAATTCAAATTCAGCTGTTTTCTCTTTAAAATAAGCCTGTTCAAATTATATTTGCAACTATGACTGATTTTAAGGACTACACTATTAAAATTGTAATAAAACACAACATAAAAAGATGTGCTACTTAAATGAGCCATTTGCAAATTGCAATGGGTTCAAGCAGTGGTAGCCAACCCCCGTGGCATAAGCACCACAAGTGGCACAGGCAGCCTTTTTGTGTATGCAACAGGTCAGGGAAGGGAAGGGACAGGCTACCCAGAAGCAAACTGGGAAAGACACAGAAAGCAGAGCATCAGATTAAGCAGGGATCACAGAGTATGGAGCAGAAAACAGGGCAGGAAATCAGGCTGAGAAAGGGGATCAGTGATAGATGGGCAGAATGTGAGATTAATTTGTGGTACCCGTGCCAAAAAGATTGGCCCCCACTGGGTTAAAATATGCTGCTTTTTAGATTCCAAACATAATGGAGGAGAAAACATTGATTTTTAGATCAACATAGGCATTATAAATATATTATAGTGTCATGTACTGCATTCAACATCTGTATTATTTCAGTTTTCAGAATAGGGCAAAGTGAATTTATATTTTTTCCAGGTGTAAATAGTTGAGTTTCCTGATGCAGATGGGCATTTGCTCTTAATTTGGTTTAATTTTAGCTAAGCAGCCATAAAAAGGTTATGTTCTCATTTGGGCTAGCTCATTTTAAGCTGGAAAACTGATGGGAAGTTGAAAAAGCAGCAAAGACTGAAAAAGTTAAAATCTATTAATAAAATCAAGTCAGAGGATATTTACTAATTCTATAAGCATGAAGAACATTAGGCCAGATTCTCAAAAGGTATTTAGGCACCCAAAACTGAAGATATGTAATTTTGTACATCCCATTAAGTGTTTCAGTAGAGTAAATACCCAACTCCTATTTAAATCAGTGCTCAGGCACTTTTGCAAGTACCACTGGAGCATCTCTCAATTTTTTACAAAGGTACTTAAGCACCATGGTAATCAGAAGCCATCCATCAGCTCACTAACTACAGTCAATACTTCTTTTTATTAAATTAAGTCAGTTTTAAATATAAAACGTGCTTCAGTTAATATTTTTTGTTATGCATCCTGTATATTTCAGGGAACTTTAACTTTATTTAATACAAGCAACTGCTATTTTATTCATTTTAATGCAATTCCAGTTACAGCTTGGCATGAAAAAAAATTGTGAATGACATACTTCATTTTTTTTTTAAAGAAAAGCAAGCATAAGAACATAAATAAATGTATAAGCTATGAGCTGCTCAAATAGGCATATAGACAGTATCTCCTTACAACTAAAAAGAACATTAAAATTTACTGTGGGTGCTATATTTAGTTACAAATCAACATGTTGGCATGTTTATACCAATGAGAATGAACCTTTCTTCTGGAAAAGAAATAAAAAGTGCAAAGATTAAAAATCAGTTATTTACATCAATGTTTCTTGCTTGTTGATTGTAATTGTGATTCAAATCAAAGTAATGGGGGAGAAGGAAGTCAACCAAACCTAACTTCATTTTGGATCACTGAAAAGAAATAAGTGCCCATACCCCAAGACAGTGGACAATACTGAGGTAGGAGGCAAAGGAACAGTTAGCTGCCATCAAGGCCAAAATCCCTTTTGCTTGCCCAGAGGTTCATCTCCACCCCAGTACCCAAAGCCTCAACTGCCATGCTACACAACAACCAAAGTCACTTCCCACACCTTCCTCTGTGCCTACAGCTCCCATGTTCTCTACCCATCTATCAAATCCTTTATTAAGCTTCCAAGGAAGAGCTCATAGTTCAGCTGTCAATGCTAGTCAGCAGCACACTGACTGTTTGAAATTGGATAGCAGTATTTTTGACTGTTCAGTTTATAAGAACTAATTGTATAGAAGGGGATCACGGGAAAAATAATGCCATATAATTGCCAATTTTCTACTGCTTAATTTCAATCTAATGATGCACAAAACAAGGAATATTTCCAAGAAACCAATGCACTAAAAGATGGTCGGACAGAGATAAGAAAGCACTTTCACTGGACCAGGAAGTGACACTCTGAAACAAAAGAAACTTACAAACAGATTCCAGCCATCAGATTTCTCCTCTGGAGTGCTGCTGGACTTAAAACGCACTTTCTGCACTTAGCTCTTACAGCACTTAAGTATAAACCAGTCTTCAGCTTTTGGGCTTTTTTCTACACAGGGAACTTGACCAAAATAGCTATTGCAAAATAACTCCGTCTGTGAATCCTTGTTCCGGAACAAGCTCTTTTTTTCTGATTAAAAATAATTCCACTCCATCCTTTTCTACTAGTTTCAACATGGCTGCTCTCATTTAAATCTCCTGGTAAACCCCATCTCAAACAGCCCAACAGCTGCATGATCCCTTGTCTACCTCCTTGCTCAGAGTAGCCCAAGAATATTACCTTGAAATATTTCCTTTCAACTCTAGCCTAAAACAATAGTCATCATTTGATTTTCCTTTGTATGGAAATGATCCACTAAGTTCTGTTCAAAATCAAGAAATAGTTCTCCTGAACTACAAGTACACTGACTTCCCAAGCACTCCTAAAACCTGTAAACAGGATGGCCAAAAGACATTACAGTTGGAATTTAGTCATTTGAAATATAGATCCACAAAGCCATCTAACTTTTCTTGTTTTATACCATCTACATTTATTAAATGCCTATTGGGAAGCTTAACTCATACAGGCACAGACTTTGCCTTCATTTGGCTCTACAGTGCTCAGTGTACTCTCTGCACTAACTACAGAAGTCCTCTCCTTCAGTATCTTTAAGGTGTTCATACACTTCCATTATTATTGGCCTAACTTCTTCCATTGGCTCATAAACATACCACTACATGTTCTAGCAATGATACTTTGGATATTCCTTAAGGACACCACATTACACAGAATCCCAGCTTAAAGTGCCCATTGTCTATCCAAGTTCCTTCCCCCCCAGCTCATTAAGGAAACTTCCATTTCCTGTGGGATGGTTGCCTAAGACAGTGATAGCTTCTTCCTTCAATTGTTCTGTGAAACTAAACAAGTTGAAAGGTTTTAGAAGAAGCAATGACATTTAACTTATCAGCTCACGAGGCTAATGATAGCCTACTGTGGCAAAGGAGACTGTTCAGAAGCCAAAAGCATGCACATAGGGCCTGACCATCACCCTCAACTTCTTCCACTACACTGACTCCCTTTCAAGCACAAGGGCACATCTACACTAAGGAAGACCATGTTTTTCCCTCAGGAGGAAAAAATCTAGCAAAGACTGGACAACTTTGTACGCAACTCACATTGTCATGGTAAGCCCTGTAGCTTACGCTTTAATGCATGTCAGCAAGTCAAGGCAAAACTATAAGCTGTGCCTTATTTTCACTTTAAAAGTCACCTTATTAGTTATCGTGCTACATAAGAGGTAAGAACTACTTCCTTCCCTAGATAAGACAAGGGGGAACTAACTGCCAAAATGAATCCTTCCCCTCTTATGAAAAACTCTTAGCTGAAGCTCCTTGTGTGTGAAGCTCCCCAGCTTCAGCTTCCAGCGAGCAGACGATCTTACCTCCCATGTAGCTCAAATGCAGCAGAACACACAGTAAGCTTATCCACCTCTCCCGCCCACTTCCATCTGCTCCATAGCACAGGCACAGTCTCTCCCATGTCCTGGGAGGACACAACATTGGAGAGTTCAGAAAGCAGCAGGATGCCGTTTACCTGGTGTGATCTGGTGGGCACGCTGTTTACCAGACACCCCATGTCAGAGGGTGACTTCCGTGGAGCCTGCTTAACCGGTGACATCAAGCTCTCAGAGGTACTGCAGCTGACGAGGTGGCAGAGCAGAGTTTGCAGGACAACATTCAAAAGACAAACAAAAAAAAGGAACAAAAACAAAAGCGAGTGATGGCAAGATGAAGCGGCAGGTTATGCCAAAGTAAATGTGATCATAATGGGTACACTGGGACCAACTTACATTCTCTCTCTTTGTCCAGTCACTATGCACTTCTCTCTCCACACACACACACACACACACACACACACACACACACACACA